AAAAAAAAATGAGATTTGGGGCCTGACTCAAAGTTAAAGTTGTGCACTGTCCTTATGTCCCTTATACGTCCCTTATGGAGAACTGGCTTAGTATCATTCTCCAGCTCCACGGTACTAAGCTCACCAGTGCTCACCTGCAGAAGTAGGAGAAATGATTCTCTCCACAGTGAAGCTCTTTGCATAGAGTTGTATTGTAATGGTCTAGAGATTTCTTACTATAAAATTTGAAAAGCTTTTGGTATGTTTCAGATGTATGCCAAAGTTCTGCCTTGGTCCACTGAAACTGAAATTCACCTAATGAGCAAAGCAGAAGATGCTTGCTCCAGTTTTGCAATTACTATTATTTTTAATCTAAATTTGAACTTCTCCATCTATACATAAAAATAGACCTGTCAGGGCAATTCAACATCATTCCAACTCAGCAAATCATGTCTGTAACTAATCTCCTATTATAACAAACTCAAGAAGCAGAAACCTTTTTTTTTTCAGTGCCAATTATTCTGAAACAGGGTCAACCTACACCTTGATGCACTAGCAACTACTTATCATTGCATTCACTATTCTGCATGAGCAAACTGTAATATAAAACTCACTTATCTAAGCCCCACAGAGGTTTTTTATACTCAAGCAAGCTGGTGGTTTCTGAATTATTCTGCTATATCATGATAGGGTTACAAAAAAAAAAAAAAAAGAAAAAAAATCACAGCACTTGGCTGCACCCTTCAGCTGGGCCTCTAATCCCAGATCAGAGTGACCATGTACATCTGGACCCCAGGGAGTGCAGTTTGTAGTGGAAGGACAATACCAGAGTTAGGCTGCAAAAATAGGTCTAATCTCAGGGGAGCATGAGGCAGGCGAGTGTTGTGTGAATCCCACACCCATGTGTGAAAATTAATATGCCTGTGAAAACTAGGAAGCAAATCTTTTGCACTTAATCATGTAATGACTGATCTAACTGATAGCAAAAAAGCAGTACAGATTGGATTCCTACCTTGCATAAATCACTCTTTCACGCTATGCTGAGAAGGGCAAAGGAGATGGGAAGGACAGACCCAAATAGAGAGGGCTTCAAATGTCATCTCCTGCATGAGCAGGGCAGTGGAAGAGGTGCATCTGGGAGATGTTTCACTGCTCTATGGTCAGGTTTACTGGGATGTCATACATGGGAGCTTTACAAACTGCTCTAGATCCATCTTAACCAAGCAGCAGGCTTTACCTTCTCTTTTATTCACAGAAAAATGTCGAGCAACACTAAGAAAATAATTTCAGATTTAGGAGGTCCTGTTAATTTATAAAAGAACTTTATCACTATTAAGTGGGAATCTGCATTATACTGTAATACAGAAACTTTTAGAAAGAAGACAATTTTATTCCCCCAGACTTATAGGAATTACACCACTGAATCTCTATCTAAACATGCATGTCTGTTAGAGTGCTCTGTGTGACCAATGTCTGACCCCTTTACTATGTAATGCTTGTAACATTGTGTAACCCCATCGTATTGGGTACTATTGCACCATGTAGACAGAGAATTGAGTAGAATTGACCCACTACTTAACTCCTCGCTAAAGACAAAATAGTATTTGCCAAAATGGTTGTTTTTTTAAGTGTTTATTTCATTATTACTTAACGAGATTACAAAGCTAAGGGATTGTTATTGCGTAACTACCTGAAATCAAAGCAGGACTTTGCTATTGATGCCATAGTGAAAGCACCAGCGTGGGTCTCCCCTGACCCAGGCTCAGTGCTTTGCATTATGTCTTGCTGTGTGATCTTGGTTAGGATCTAAAGGATTCAGGATTAAGATTTAGCAAAAAAAGTGACCTTGATAAATGTACCTTGATTACAAAGGAGATACAGTAAAGAAAGGATTTTTTTCCTGAACTGGATCTTGAAAGACTTATTTACTAAAGTTTGTTTTTTCTATTATTATTTTATTTTTTAATTCAGTTTTATTTCATTTTTTTAAAAAATAATCTTACGGTTTTCTCTGCTTCATAATTTCACAGACTAATGTCTTCTAAG